GATTTATTTATTATGTAATTAATATATTAGTTCCTTTAAAAATATTTGCTTCCTGAATTTGTGATTTAATTCTAGCTATCATAAAGTTTTTAAAAATTGAGAATTAGCAATGAAAAACAAATTTTGCTCACGAAAAAAACCTGAACCGATTCTGAAAATTTATATCATTTGGTGATTGTACAAGTTTTTATCAAAGATCGGCCAGTCCGTTTCTTTGTAATTATATAAAATTTAATTTCGGCGCCTTTAATTAAACTTAACATTGTGATAGAGTTTATGATTAAAATTTGAAAATATCAGAAGCCTACATTTTTTTTTATTTCCTTAGAAAGATACAAAGGAATCTTATAAGAAATTGTTGCACAAAAAGACAAAAAATAGAATTTAAAAAAATTGAAAATCAGTCCTTGGTCTAGTTTTTAGTGAATATTTCTAACATATTTTTAATTATTTATTTATAGATGAAAAATGGAACATTCGATGCAAAAGCAAAACTGGACTCGTTTAAAAAAGTCCACGAAAAAAATACTAAATTGATTGAAAATTATACAAAAATGATTGAAGATTGTGAATCGAGTGCAAAAGGAGAAAATGACTGCGACATTGCCAAAAATGTGATGGATTGCGAAATTAATATTGCCAGGGAAAATAAATGGATAAAAAATCCAGTAGAGGAAGAAAATGTTTAAAATAATATAATTAAAATAGAATATGAATAATAATCATATAATTTGGACAGAAAATTAGAAGTAAGAAGAAAAACCATATTAGAATTCGAGATCAGGTTTAGATGAAAAAAAAGGATGAGAAATCAGTTGTGAAAAGCAAAAAAAATAGTTAGGATATATATGAAATATAGTATAGAATAGAATATATATATGTATATATATATATATATATATACACAATAGTGTAGAATATATAAAAATAGTATAGATTATGAAAATGAAATATTGTAGGTGGTTAAATGCTTTAAGTAAAGCCAATAAAAAATGCAACATGTTAATAAAATCCATTTTTAATACATGAATTAGAGATTAGAATTTATAGAAATGACAGTAAAATATAACCAATATACTGTTATTTTGGATCACATTTTTTTCGTATTAGTATTTGGTTGTTGTATTTTAAAATAGATATTAAAATTTACTATTCAAAACGTGTTTATTCTATTTTTAAGCATCAATTCTGTTGGCAGCTTCAATTCTGCAGGTAATTCTGATTCGACATATTTTCCAGAACAAAGATCGATTTGTAAATCAATGTTTGTCAAAACTTCCAAAACATCCTGAATAATACTTTCACTTTCGTAATTGTATATTGAATTATTACGATTCATCACTAATACGTATAAATATTAATGTATCAGTAAATGCACTAGGAAAAAACTGAATCCTGATCAATTTTGAATGATCTAAACAATTTCTTCATTAGAAAAATGTTGTCAAACATTCTTAACGTTTTTAAAATGGCTACCCAATGGTTGCTCTATGTTTATTAATATTTCTCGTTTTTTATTTGAAAAAAAAAAATCTGTTCATTTAAAATAATAACGACCAATAAAATGAAAACTCCAAATTTGGTTCACTGTGATATATACAGACACCGAAAAAAATCATATCAAGATGATAATAAATGTTGTTCTTCCTTAGTGACTAGTCAAATTTCAAACTTTGCCAATTTTCATTCTGGAACAGCAATTTGATCTAAACACCTCCAAAAAATATTGTCAAACATTCTTAACGTTTTTAAAATGGCAACCCAATGGTTGCTCTATGTTCATTAATATTATATTTCTTTAATACTGATAATTTTTTTTATTTGATGCAGAAATGTCGAGAAAGAGATAGATACTCATAAATAAAAACGGATATACTGCTTGATATTAGGCTAACCGGTTGCTTTCAAACCTGTAATTCTGTGTTTGCAAGGCCAAAGCAAATATATTGTCAAACATTCTTAACGTTTTTAAAATGGCAACCCAATGGTTGATCTATGTTCATTAATATTTCTCTAAAACTGATGATAAATTTTTAATTTAATGCAGAAATGTCGGGAAAGAGATATATATTCTTAAATAAAAACGGATATACTGCTTGATATTAGGCTAACCGGTTGCTAACAAACCTGTAAGGCCAAAGCTCTTACCACTAAATCACGACAATTCTTGCAAACTTTTTCGCAAAAATGAAAGAAAGAAAAAAAATGGAATAGTAATGCCGTGAAATACTGTAAAAAATTTAGAACATTTACAAAAAATGATTAATACACAAATATTTTTATTGTGATAAACAGTAATGAAAAAAAATTGAAGTAATTGGAATAAAAATGACCTCTAGTACCAATTCCTAATTTGAAGATTAAAAATATCATCAAAACCGTAAAAATTGCAACTTCTATTAAAGTTTTTTATACATATTTTGAATCAAAATTTCAGTTGTTCATCTTCATCTATCATTAACTTAGTATTTTCCAAAAAAGTGCAACTCAATGGTCGTCTACTCCGACTCTATGTATAAACAATGTATATGTATTTCAAAAAATCTAATAGTGTTGCAGCAATGCCCACAAAAGGTGATTTTCACATGAGAATATATTTGAGATTCATAACTTTAGATGGAAATTTGATATCATTCTTTTTGATACCGAGCTGTCTGAAATTGGGATCAAACCTGTGTTCTAACCCATGTTCTTACCCACTAAACCACGACGGCACATAAATGTCCTTAACTGAGCAGCTGTAAATATAGTAGTAAATAAAAAAAAAACTAGTAATGTATGGCATCGTGCCTTAAGGCAAATTGCTGGAACTTCCCGTACCGTAATGATTTATTCGAGGATTATTAGATGTTTTCAAAGAGATTATTATAATTTTACAGATTCATTTTGCTGCTATCTACTAAAAAATACTAATCAGTCCCCTCAATTTATACCAAACTCGTACAAAAGCACTTTAAATTATTTATTGCAATAGAGTTACATTGCAAAAATAAATCATTGCATTTATCCATTAATAATATAAAATCGTTTATCATTAGTGGTTTTCCACCATTAAAAATGACAAATCATTCTAGTTTCATCAAATGAGCAATTATATCCGAACAATTGAATATTGTCAACAGACAGAATCTAACAGAGATTCAAGGAAATTAGAATCAGATAAAACACAATATATAAAGTCGAAGCATTGGGTTTTGGAAATCAGTACAGTGTAGTAAATACTACATTTGAAAATTATAAACAAATTGTTTTATAAATTTGAAGTAGAAGAAAATCAAAATGAAGATATTCTTGGTGATTGGAACACTGGTCGCTTTATATTCTGCGGCAGAGGTAAATAACAATCTTTTTTTTTTTAATAAAAAGGAGTAAAAAAAAAAACAAATATTGTTTTCGCAACTTCACTCATCATGTAATTGTGTTTGAAGAACTTCATGCAATTAAAATTTATTGACTGTTTGTATTTTTTTTTACTTTTTCACTGGCGATATAATCTCATTCTTTGAACTGCTGTAATATCTAATCTTGCCAAAAATATTTTCCATTTCAATAACTTCCATTTTATAAGATTTACAGAAACTACGAATAATATAAAAAATATTTCTAATCAATAAACTTACGTTTAGTACACGGCACAAATGTTTAATTTGTTTAAGGGTAAAATATTCTTCTGATTCAGGCATTTTGCATTGAATTAACATTTATACTACGATGTTACTTTAAAATGTTTATCAATGCCGATTTCCTTGTAGATATCGGTACGCATACAACTTTGATGCCGGTACGCATACAACGACAGATCTCTATTCACATACACGACGACTAATCACAATCGACCCGTATGGAAATGATATCATCGGAAGCGAATAGCGAACAGTTCGGGCGTAACGGATTTCCGTTGCATTTGTACGGATCTACACTCTAGTCGCGTTTAAAGAAGTTTTACTTCAAAATATGAATGCCTTTTTTAATTATTCAAATCAGTTGATCGGTGTTCCCGAAATCGTGGATGAAAATTGGTATCCGCACGCACATACACACACACATACATCCACTTTTTCTAAGGCATATAAAAATTTTCATATTCGATTTTTTGAGATTACTATAACTTTCCTTACGGGAAGTAATAAATCAATATATAAATCTCTAAGAGTCTCCATATAATTCTTTTGAGATTATCTAACTTTTCATAAAATTTTGGAAGTCTGGCTGGAAGAAAAACTAACTTTTCATGAGTATTTTATCATTTAAAAGACATTTTGAATAATTTATCTCACCATAGAAACTAATTAGATCTTGTTAGATGTTAGATTCAATAAAATCAGAACTAGAATTTATAAATTCTCATTAGATTGTGGCTACATTCTTATTAGATTCATAATAGGTTCTTATGAGATTAGGCCAGATTCTTATTGCATTCTAACTAGGTTCTATATAAAATATAAAAATACTATATACAATTTTATATAGGTTTTAATTAGAATTAGGAGTTTCTAAAGTATAACTAATTTACCAAAACTAATTTAAATATTATATTTCAGGCTGCTAAATATACTAAAGAAGAAGCAAAAGAAAAACTTTTGCAGATTGGTAAGGATTGTGCTGTAGAAACAGGAGCTTCTTCAGGTAATCCTTGACAAAAATCAGTTTGGTTTAATTATAAAATATTAAATTGGATAATACATATTCACTGTGATAAAATTATTATATATTATGTTTATATAAAAAGTTTGTATCGATGTGGTAAACGCCTACAATCTGATATAACACAGTATTAATGTCTATGTTTACTTGAAAATATAGAAGAAAATATGTTTCCAAGTGAAAATAGACCGCCTCCAGCATATTTGAATAAAGTAGGAAATAAATCCTTATCACTAGAAAAATTATATTGAAAACAATACATCAAATATAAATAAAGCAAATAATTGGTATAAGGCAATACTATAAGGCAGATATTTAAACAACAGGTCTTATGACAAAAATATGTATAGACTTACAATAGAAACCTGTTAAGACGATTATGTCCAATAGGATTTCTTGCATAATACACCATTTTTAATCGGTTTCTATACCTTGATATGTGACAGTGTTCCTGCATAAGATGCTTTTTTGCTTGAAGTTGGTTCGGTCTCTAGAAAATCGTTTTAACAAGGTTTTAAGGCGTATTAGGAGTATTATAATATAAAATTTATCATTTCAGATGATATTGAAAAATTACTGCAAAAGAACATACCAGATTCAAAGCCTGGAAAATGCATGATTAATTGCGTTTACAAGAAACTTGGAGTGGTAAGAATGTACTACTTTTTATAAAATGATTAAGAAAAGAATAATTTAATATAAAAAATAGAACTAAATCAATTTTAAAATTAAAGAACAGACCCAAATATCTCCATTTTAAGTTAATAATAAAAATTTCACAAAAATAAGCTAAAGATTCCAAAATTGATACTATTATATTCAGATATATAAAGAAAAATGTTACTATTTTTGATAGAAGATCAATGCAATGGCTTCTCAAATTTTTCAAAACATTCAAAATTTTCAGGAAAATGTATAGTAAAATATTGATAAACTGGGCATAAGTAGTATTTTGCCTTTAGGCAAGTTGCAAAATCATAAATAATCGACAAATCATTACGAACTGGTATATACAATTTTTTTTTATATTATATAAAATTTTATATCGTAAAATTTTACACAGCCTATTATTTGAAACAAAGATTAATTTTTGCTGTTGAACCATTTATTTTAGGCCTATAATGTAATAAAATTTGAGGTAAGACCTATCCATAAACTAGATGTAAGTGGCATTTGGCCTTAAGTTTCAAAATAATCGACTTAATCATGATTATTTAAATAATATAGAATGTTCACAAAATTAGACATCATGAATGCGAATTTTCTAATTTGATTTTTTGATTTTAGCAAAAATAAACTTTGTTTATTGGGTTTCTCATAAACCAATTTTGTAATAAAGTTTCCTTTGAGAAACATCACAAGTAACACATGATACATACCATTTGCATTATTGCAGGTTAATTTTTTTCTCGTAAAAACATGTGCACAGCATAATTTATAACTGATCATCATTTAATAAAAAAAATAGTACTCACCTAATTAATCATCTTTAGTTGTCACTTCAAATACAGGCGACATTTTGTAAAAATCGCGCTTGAACTAAACGTCATCCAACAGCAACCACCGATTCAAAAACATGCCACTAATTTCCCAACACTTTTCATTTACTATTTCAGATGAAAGATGGAAAATACCATCCTGATGCCGGAATTGAAGTATCAGCCATGGTACACGAACACGATTCAGAATTAATGGAAAAAGTTAAGAAAATCGCAACCGAATGTGACAGCGAAGCCAAAGGAGAAGACGAGTGCGAAATTGCTGCCAAAGCAATGGAGTGCGGCGTGAGGATGGCCAAAGAACACAACCTAATGGACGCGATACCAATATAATAGTTAAAAATTTAATATTAGGTCGGTTGAAGACCTGTCAAAATGTAGTCGTTAAATTGTAGTGTGAAGTTGTCACGATGTGGGCGTAGGAATAAAATGCTATTTAAAAAACAATTCCTTTTAATTTAAAATAATGTTTTTATGTTTTGATTGTAAAATAAGTCTTTATTTTGAATTCTATTTTTAGAATAATCATATATATAAAAATAGAGCTCTCGATAAAATGATCCGCTAAAACTCGAAAACGGCTAAACCGATTTGGCCAGTTAGCCAATCTTGAAAAATTCGTGCTAATCAGTAGGTTGTCGCAAAGGTGAGATATTATTTCAAAATCGCGTAGCAACTTTACATTTTTAATTTAAAAAATTTTTGTAAAAGCAAAATTTAAACAAAACAATGGACGATGGCTAATACGTCAATCCCAGAATTTATCAAAGAATAGATAATAATATATGAAGGTCCGGGGTTAAAAAGATCCACCACCGATGTGTCAAAAACCAGTAAAGTTAAGCATTGTTTAACAACGATATTTGAAAGTAGAGGTAAAAAGATGTATAACCAGCTATAACCTCGATTCTCATGACTTTGCTATCGGGAAATAATCAGCAATCTTTGAAAATCCACAATAAAAGTATTTTCTTCCGTTAGTAGTTTTTTATCAATAGTTAAAAAATGTAATTATTTTGTAAAATACCTTTAAAATTAAAATAAGACATTAAACCTGTTTGCCACCTGGCGGTACCAAGTTACCCCGCCAATGGGGTAAAAAGGTCTAGATTTTTGAAAGACAGCAAAAAAACACATTTCTACAATGATGAAGCAGCTGGCAATTTTAATGAACGTAGTCACATAATTGTTCAGTTGAAATGTGTTATTTGTTGAGATATAATTGGTTTGTTCTTTACAATATAGTTTATATTTGCTCAAAGTCAAATTGGACCTTTGTGCCTCGCCCTGCTCTACATATATACTTCTTATTAAATTTACTTTGATTCATCAAAGGTTACTTAAAACTTTTTAAAAAGCAGGTCAAAGATTAAATACTTAATTCATTTTCTATCTCTCCTCGCAAAAATTTGAAAATTTTGTATAAGCTCAGTAGTATTATTTACAATTATACACAAAATCTAGAATCCAAAAAAATCTGAAACGTAATCAATAAGTCGAAAGACCAAAAAAGACTTGGATTGGATTATACCATGTTTTCTATATCTATTCAAACAACACATCCTTATACACTTAAAGTATTAATATTTTTGTTACTCTAGAAATTGTTTAGAATATATCTTTCTTAAAAACAACGTTTGCCGGGTCAGCTAGTAATATTATAAATATAGTAGAATTTCTTTAGCCCGTCATGACCGATAGCCCGAAATTTTGTATCAACTATTAAACAGAGAAAATAAGTAAATATAAGAATAAAAAATTGCTAAAAATTATAAACTTGGTATTTCACTAAGGGAAATCAACAGAAAAAACATTAAAAATTATTTAATCTAGTGCTATATAACATTCGACGTTTAATCAAGATCGTCAAAAATAATCAAAGACGTTATAAATTGAAAAAGGAAATGCGGAATAGCATTGAAAAAGCTATTTACAAATAATATATAATATAAATTTTCAATTAAATGTTTAAGCAACTACAAAATTCAAATTTTATAACATAATTGACATATTTAAATTTGGCGCACTTTTTGATTTCAGTTTTAAAGACGGCGGCCATTGCGCTGAACATGTTGCAAATAATTAACTGACACCTAAGTTCAGTAAGTTTTTAAGAATGTAGTGCGTTTTTTTTTTGCATAAACTGTTTATATTTAATAAAGTGTGTAAAATCTGCAAAATATTTATTTAAACAATACATTTTATGACGAGAATTCATAGTTATTATAAATTTCTTCAAACATTCTTCTACAAGACAATTTAACATTCAACTTAGCACACATTAGAAACACACCAGACAATTTACGATGCAATGAGTATATTTCTTCAGGGGGTGGGCACAGTCTTTGGGACACCATTACAGGTACCAAATCAGCAATTCTTTTTGTAGTACTCTGATTTCCAAAATCAAATTCCCCTCTGCAACTGAAAACTTCTCCTAGAATCATGACCGCATTGATATGAGCCTCACGCATAGATTTTGATTCGTATCCTGTGAGGAAGCCCATGTGTTCAGATAATTTAAGTACAAGGTCTCGGTCGTCATCTGTGGCAGCTTTGATTACTTTTAAATAATTATCAATGAATTCTTTGGAGTAATCTCTTGTAGCACCAAAGTCAATTAAGGCTAGTTGCTGGGTTTCTTTGATGTACAGAAAGTTTGACCAATTTGGATCTGTTTGCATGAATCTATGGACAAATAACTCTCTAAGGCACAATTTCATGATTGAATGAGCAATCATATGTCGGTCTTCATAAGGCAGTTGAAAACAGTGGTCAATAGGTACGCCTGGCATTAATTCAGTTGTGAGTACTTGTGCTGAACTTAAATTGCGTATAACTTTAGGTATAACATATTCAGGATAATCACTGAAGTAGTCATAATATCTTTCTGAGTTCATTGCTTCACGTTCATAATCAACTTCCCATGCTAATTCATGTTTAGCTACTTTAACTATTTTATCAATGAACATACCTTGTGGAAATACATTCCACACATTTAATAAACCTACTAGATTATCTATATCACTTTCAATTCCTCGAGCTACACCAGGATATTGTACTTTTATTGCCACTGTCATGCCATCATGCAATACACCGTAATGCACTTGACCTATAGACGCAGCAGCAAAAGGCTTTTCATCAAACTCACTTAAATGATCTCTCCAATTTTCACCAATTTCAGCCTGTAAAACAGATTCAACTTGCTTTAGAGGCATGTAATCAGCTGAATTTCGGACTCTTTCAAAGACTGATGCCAGTTCTGGTGCAATAACTGAATCATCTTGGATACTAAGTATCTGCCCAAGCTTTAGAGCAGCACCTGAAATAAAAAAAAAACATTTATTCAATATTTATAAATTCCTTCTCTTTATTACAACTTTTTGTTGCCATTTTTGTTGGTTTTAAATATTTAAAGCTAAAATACTTAATGAATTGTTCAATGATTACCTCTAACTTTGCACAATGTATCAACTATCCTCGTTGCATTCTCTGGAGACAACAAAGCTTTTTTGACTGTCGGTGCACCCCCCAAACCTAGGGCTCCTTTAGCCAGTTGTGATAATGTTCCAATTCCTAAGCTTGCAGCCAGACTTCCAAAAGTTGCCATGCGTTCAATGCGTGAAGCAGGGACTCTCCTTTGCTTTGCAGATTCAGACAACTGTGATAATAGAAAATAATAATATAAAATGATTTCACGATTAAAATGTTAACATCACATTTTAATATCTATATTCTAAATGTTTTTAAAATAGTTTTACAATGAAAGTGCAAAGTTTGTTCCAGAAAATTGTGGTTTATGCCATGGATTTTTGTGGAAAGATATAAATTAATTGACTGTGGCAATTGGTAAGTCGATTTATTATTCTAAGAATGTATATATATATATATATATATATATATATATATATATATTATATTATATTATCATATTATAATATTTGTACTTACACTAATAAATAACAACTTAGATGAATAATTATTAGATGATAGAACCATAAATCTAGAACCATTGTTTACCTTCTACTTTTATATCTTATAATTAAATTAAAAATTTCAAAAAAACATTTCAATTTAATTAATCTAAAAACAAAACATTTGATTAGAAAAAGGCAATTTAAACATAGAATCTAAAAGTGGAAGGTAAACAATGGTTCTGGAGTATTAGCTAATAATTATTCATCAAAGTTATTTATTTGTATAAGCGCAGAAATGATTTCTTTTATTTAAATATCTGGAATAAATACGCTAATTTATATATCCTCAATGCTATCGGTAATTGCACAAATTGCTATCGGTATTTAAGGGACATAGCCACAAAAAAACATAAAATTGGAAAGATAAAGATGCATTTTGACTGCATGAGTGCGCAGTATTAATTTTATAACCTCAAAGCAATTTTATGAAATGGATTTTATAAAGAATACATTACCTTAGGTAAATGTGGTTCAATAACAATAGGCTTATCATCATCATCATCATCCAAATGCCTCCTCGTTTGAAAATTACTCTGTGCATATCTTTTAGTATTAACCACAAACCCTTTCCTCGATCCTGTAAACTGTTTATTATTCCTCGACCCCCAATCATAGTTCAAATCCTTAGTGTTACCTCGTTTTGCCAACAGTTCCTCGACTTGTTCCAAAGTCAGATGTGGTTCATCCTTGGGTTTGAAATTAAGTTTGAGCATAGCAAACTTCTTAACCCCTTCGAGGAACACATCAATCCTTTCTGCAGTTTCTTTAACATTTTGTACGTTGTTTTTGAATTCGGTTGTGGGGTCATTTAAAGTTTTGTTGAGTTTATCGTTTGCCAAAGCCCCAGCACTTTGGGCTATTTGTCTGGTACTTGAATTTTGCCATATTTTCTTATAATAATTCTGTTGGAGTCTTGCGCCAGCTCTCAGGACCTGCCTTAAGCCTCTTATAACTGCAGCAATGTCATAACCCCAAGCCATTGCTGAAAATATTTCAAGTTGTACATGTATTCAAAATACATATCACTTAAAAGTATTTATATTGATACAATTGTTGAATACGATAATTTTGATGTCATTTCGAAAAAATAGATATGAATAATTTGGAAAATAAATAAAAACCGTGCACTTGAAAATTTTGTACGGCTGAAAGTGACAGCTCGAGTTTGACAGGTGTCAGATTTGAGGTTTGTGATTGGTCAGGCGAATTTCAACCACGTGGTCTAAACAACTTACCCAAAGAATTATAACTTTAATTGTATATATTTATACTTATTTAAATGTTTATTTGAGACTACATTAAAATATCATTTGAAGCTTGTGAAAATTCTATCGAATTTATTTTGTCACTTATCTTGATAAAATATTATCATGCTCCATATCACATTACGTCTTTGTTTACAAAACCCATGTTTTGGTAATTGATATAAAAGAAATTCTCATGGACATTTGATTGATGTTGCAATAAGTAATTATAAAAAATATATTAATATTATTTAAATATTCTAAAGGCCTAAATTACATAATTTGCATCTTGCAATACATTCTTCCAAACTGTTAAAATATTTTTGTTTTTTTCTTATATTTATATATACACTTAAATAATTGTTTTTATATAATGAAATATTTATTTCATTATAAATAAAAATCTAAACAAAATTGTGACTGAATGTTGAGATGTATTAGATGCATCTTCGAGTGAAATATTTCATTCAGCATCCCAATATATAATACATTCGCGTTTCTGTGTTACATAATAAAAATGATAATCTCCATGCATATAAATAAAATTCTAAACAAAAATGCAATCTATTGTTGATGCATCTTTGAGTGAAATATCTCATTCAGCATCCGAATATATAATACATATCAAACAAATCAATATCGAGACAGGTTCAAAAAATTTTCAGTTATTGCTAAAATATATAAATATGTTTATTTGATACTTTTTTTAAAAAAAAATTCATTTGTCCTCGTTTACTTCATAGGAGGCAAATATACACAATTTCTAATTTTTAATCGTAAGTGATTTTAGATAAGTTTAGTTTCTTTTTTGATCAAAAAACTATTTACTTTTTCATTTACTTTTTGATTTTACTATTTGAGGATATGGTTTGTATCTTTCTTCAGAAACTATCAAAAACAAATTTTCTTTTTATTCATTTGACCACATTTTTCATTATTTCGAAATTAAAAATATTTCGAATTTTAGATTAAATTTGAAAATTTTGGTCCAGAAATTGCGCTTAGAATCATGCCTTGCAAGATTCTTGAAAATAAAAACCTAAGCTCCAAAAATATTTTTTTCCCAGTTGATTTATCTGGATTGGTTATCACTTATTTATTTAAAGTTGAAAGTGAGTATTGTTTAAGGTGATTGTTTTAAAAAAAAAAATATATACAGAATATAATACATAAGACCATGAAAAACTAATCATTACTTCTCCTCATCGTTACGAATTGAATATTTTTTAAATCATTCAAATCGGATGCTCCGTTCTCTCAAAAACTCGATTTCTATTTTCTGCACTCTTTGCTCCGTATCTCCGAAACGGCTGGACCTGCCTTTGCCAAAAACTAATCAGAACATCTTCCTATCAATAGGAATCGAATGTTTTTTGAACCATTCAAATCGGTGGATTCAAAAACGTTGAAAAATTGTATTCGTATACACATCCATTTTTTCTAAGGGATGTTCAGAAACCTTTGAAACGTGAAGAGATATAAACAAATTTATTTTCGATTTTTTTGCGATTACTATAACTTACCCTACGGGAAGTTGAAAATGATCAACTATTTTTGATCACATAGTTATTAAATTGAGTAAATACTTTGATCATGAGTTCTCTTTCAAATATCTTTTTTATCCATTGATTGATCTTCAAATAAGTTTCTAAAAGATATTATTTCAAGTATCTATCCATTATAACCGAGTCATTCTACAAATTCGTAAAATCCATTCCAATTTAGGCAATCTCATGTTATAACACATGTGTGAGAAGTGAAAGGAATTGGATCGAATTTCTTTTAAAAAATTCTTCGAACTTTGAAAATCGACAACTGCCCAGCCGAGACGAAAGAAAGCATAGAATCATATATTTAGAATCATGAAAGCAATTATGCTGCTCAACAGAATCTATCATTAATAATAAACATTTTAATTTATTTATATAAATGGTATTTTGTTTAATTACCATCATCATTGTAATTACTAGAAAAAGACTAACTTTGTGGGATTTACCTGGCGTATGGAAATTAGCTATTAGGTAAGCGGGGCTTTATGAAAAAGAAGTGCATAAATTTCTTAGAAGTAAGCTTTGTAGCTTTCAATTTGTTTTTTGAAAAGTTAGAAAAAAAATATATCATTTTGGGGATTTTTAAATTTTTTGAAAATATTGATAACTTTGATTTTTTTTGTAAATTTCAACAGTTTTTAAATAATTTGAATTTTCTTGAAATCGGTAATTTAATATTAAACTTATTTATCATCTTTCATAATTCGACGCTAAATATTTTGTTTATTTTCATTTAAATCGTCAAAACAATGTTGATAAATATAATAAAATAAAGGCTCATGTCTCTTTGTAAACACATGTACTTTGTAAACAAGTACTTATATAAATTAGCGTCATATAACAAAATGATACAGAGTTATGTTTCAAGGGTTTCTGAACATTTTGGTATACCTTAGAAAAAATGGATGTAGGTGTATGTGTACGGATACAAAGTTTCGTTGACGATTTCGGGAACTGTGATCAATCGATTTGAATAATTCAAAAAACATTCGATTCGTATTGATAAGGAGACGTGCTGATTAGTTTATAGCGAAGGCAGGTCTAGCCGTTCTAAAGATACGGGGCAAAAAGTGCCAAAACCGGTAACTCAGATCTTAAGAGAACGGGGCGCCCAATTTTAATCATTCAAATAACATTTTACTTGTATTCACAAGATGAATAACTGGTTAAATTTTTGGGAAGGCAGGTCTAGCGGTTTCGGAGATACAGAGGAAAAAGTAAGATTTTAAAAATTAGTACTAATTTTTTTTGTGACAATTTTATTGGGTTTTGTACCAAGATTTTTAATTTTTAAAGTTTACTTACACGGTTCAAGCAAATTTCAAAATCTTCAATTTTTTTTTTTCAAAATATACGAAGTTCTATACTTCAAATATGAATTTTAAATTTACAATTCAGTTTCGTATGGAATATATTCTCATAATCAGATGGATTCATTGCTCAGATGGCACGATGCTATACACCACTAGTTTTTAGTATTTTGTGTCAATTACTATAAATAATTTTTTCTGTTTTCTTTTTTATATAATTTTAATAAATATATAAAAAAGGAATAGAGACGCTGTGTACCTTCTACGTTACATAACCGATATGTTTGACGTAATATCTGTTACATACCAATAACGTTTTAATTATGAGGACTACATGACCCATATTGTTTTAAAAATAACTTTCGCATACTTTCTTACTTTAATATAAAAAAATAATTTTGTTCAATTTTTTAAATTCAACGATTTTTCCTTTCCATCTAATGCGAACTTACTAAATATCTCTATGATGCAAGTCCCATCTATCCATAAGCATACTCTTTGCTTCAAATGTCAAATAATAAATATAAACCTACAATATAAATTTTGTTTAAATCATTCTCATATTTTAAAAGATTATTATAATTATTTTTTAGCACAATTTTTTTTGTAAATATTTACTGGTAAAACTGGCAAAACGTATTTAAAAATGTCAGAAGAAACAATTATGTCTATGAATGATCAGGCAATTAAAAATGAACCACCAGAATATTCAGTAGAAGAGATTAAACTCGAAATTAAGGATGAATTAGATGATGCTGATGCTATTGTTGAATACATATCGTGTTCTGAGGATGATGAAACGTGTTTAAAAAGATTCATGAACTCCGAAGTGACCATAGAAGAAGATGTCAAACAGGAGTCAATCGAGGCTTACGTATGTAACATTTGTAATCAATCTTTTGCAGAATCACATCAATTGCAGGTGCATATGGTCAATCACAAGCCCAGTTGCAGCAAAGAACGCCCTTTCAAATGCAAAATCTGCCATAAGACTTTCAAACACTCAATACTATTAAGAAAACACATGATGACACATTCTGGAGAACGTCCCTTCGAATGCAATATATGCAATAAGGCATTTGCCCAATTAGGCAATCTAAAAAGTCATATGCTCATTCACAGTAGTGAGCGCCCTTACGAATGCACTATATGCAACAAGACTTTCAAAGAATCTCGTGCTCTGAAAAAACACATGCAGAGACACAGTGGAGTACGCCCGTATGAATGTGATGTATGCAATAAAAAATTCACAGAAGTAAGTTCTCTGAAATATCACATGCTGATACATGATGAAGTACGTGCCCATAAATGCTATATATGCAAGAAGCCATTTAGACATTTTAGTAGTATGAGAAGACACATGTCGATTCATGACAAAGAGCATTCTTATAAATGTGAAAAGTGCAGTATGGGATTTACTCAAGCGTATGAATTTCTGGATCATATGGAACTTCATGGTGGGAACGATTTGAGGAAACACCTGGAAATTCACACAAAGAAAATCAATGAATTATTATTGCCATTATGATTGATTCATATTATAAATCGTTATATAACTCATTTTGTAATTAGTACTCATTAAGATAGAACATGAACAGAAAACATTTGCAATAAGCATATAATGTAAAACTTTTTTCAATATACTGTGATAGATTTTTTTAAAAAACTCCTTGGCAATGGAGAATGTTACTATGGAATTAAGATGCACGTAAGATTATTCAAGTAGTCTAACAGCATTAATGTGACAATATTTATTTATGATTAAGATTTATATACAAATATATAACTGAAAATTGTTAACTTAATGTATAGATTTAAATGTTAGAATTATTAATAACATTATTAATATTAATAACATAACTTGGCCTAACAATTGTTTAATAGTGTAGTGTTCTTATGTAAACTATTGCTGCATGGCATCGTTTGTTAAAACTTTCCATATAGTAAACAAATATTCGAGGAATATAAACAATAAGCAATCAATAAAAATTTATCAATTATTAATAACAACTGTTTTGAATATTTTCAAATAGATTTTTATAGT